AATTCAAGTTATTTGTTTTTACTTTTAGCTGTCTCGTAGTCTTGCAGCATCTTCTTCATTTCCTTTCTCCTCTTGGATGCAAGAGCATCTTATAACAAAAAAGAAATCAACCAACAAGCTGATTAATTCGTGGAGAGAAAAAAAAAAATATTGGAATAAAATCTCTATTTCTACATACCAAATCCAACCCACACAGACAATACTGCACCCGAAACAACTAGTTTCACTCTTGCTCCCATCGACTTTGTACCATTGTTATTAATAGGTAGTGAGGAGAAATCGCGAGACTGGCCATTGCAAATCGATCTCCCTCCACAGTAACACTGTCGAAATTTTTGATCAATCGAGATCCAAGAAAGGAGAAAACAAAAACTACAAAAAACAAGTTTAGATTTTCTCGACTTACCTGCGCAACGACGGGTCTTAGAATCTGCATGATCGATAAATTAGGTATTTGTTTGTTTCTCTGCAGGTGTGCCATTGTTCACTAAAGGAACGAATTGATGGGCCTCAAACGAGGGATGCGTGAATAATCCATTCTAGGTGTATACGTCGTGAGCCCACAAACGCATATCTTGGTAATATTCTGCTCATCTATAAAATAAACTCATTAAAAAAAGAGCTTTACCAAAACAATCTTGAAAAATTAGTTTTTGACCAAAATGATGCTCATATTTAAATATTATTCAAACAATTTTTTTTACTCGTTTTACCTTTATTTGCTTTTAAAACAAAAAATGTATTTACGAAACTGCTGGGGCAGGACACGTAGGCAAAGAGTTTTTCTCGTCAAAAGCAAATAAGTCTACCGTTCATGTGATGGTAGATTTATTTTATGATCGGTAGATTTATTAAGCGTTTGGTAAACTAATTCAAGTCCATATACTTAATCGACGAACGTTAAAGTTAATATTTAAATGGTAGACTTATTGTGTAGACTTATTTTTATTTAGTGGTAGAGATTTTTTGGAGTGGTAGACTTAAATTATGCGTGGTAGAGTTAATGCCAACCGTGGTTGATTTGTTTTTGAGTGAAAGACCTAGTAGTCGAATGGTTAATTTATTTCGGTAGATTTATTAGTGAGTGGTAGTTTTATTTGTACGTGATGGTATACTAATTACTCGTGGTAAATTTAAATTCCTCGATGGTAGACTAAATTCCTGGTTGGTAGACTTAATTTTGTGATCGGTAGACTTATTGATGGTTCGCTATCGTATACTTATTTATAGTAGTGGTAGATTTATAATATAAGATAGACTTATTTATAGTAATGGTAGAGTTATTCAATCTTTTCAGCTCTTTACTAAAAAAACTCTCAGTTGGTAGACTTGTTGAAATTGGTAGACTTATTGCGTTTTCGATGAATTTGGTAGACTTGTTTGGCTATATTGACTCACGATAGAGTTTATGTGATGATGATAGACTTGTTTCAATTTCGATGGTAGATTTGTTTGGATATATTGAATGATGATATACTTTGTGTTATGATGATATACTTGTTTCGTTTTCGATGTGTAGACTTCTTTGGCTATATCGAATGACGATAGACTTGTATTCTTGTATACAATAATGGTAGAATTGTTCGGTGACAGTGATAGTTTTGCAAGAAACGTTATGATAAATTTGTTATTATTCATAAACATGTCAAATAGTATTTGAAATGATTATAAACAAGTTTTACCATTATGGCTGATCATATTAAAAACAAGTATACCACTATGGATGATTATATTAAAAACAAGTATACCACAACAATGTTATAACACCACTGTTTTAGAACACTTATATGTAGTATATATTTTAAATTTGGGGTGATAAAACAATAATGCCATGTAGCTTAGCGGTTACATAGGCCCATATTTATTATGTTGAAAGCCCGCGTCTCTGGTTTGAACTATTTACGACGCATTTAATTTTGTTTTTTACCAGTTTCGCTTTTATGAGCTGTAAAATGACTCATCTACCCTCGTCTTTTTCCTTGGAACTGAAAAACCAAAAAACCTAGTCGCCGTCTCACTGTTTTTTTCACTGTTTTCATGATTTCTTCTTACCTTTTTGATTGTTTTACTTTCAAATATGATAGATTTATTTAATAAGTTAAATTGAATAATAGTTTGAAGTTTTCAAAATTTTTGATTTTTCTAGCGAATTTGATGGAATCGCGGCGGTGGGGAACCCCCGAACGAATCACCGACGCAAAATCGGTCGTCGGCAGCGCGTTTTCGAACAACCTATACCTAGATATTTTTTTTATTAATAATTCATAATGACATTCTTGTAATAAAAACTTTGGTGATGGTTTTAATATATTTTAGGATTTTTGTTTAGTTTTTCATTTGTTTGAAAAATCTAACAAAGAATTAGGTAATTTTTCAAAATTGTTTTAGTAATTATCTCTTAAAAAAAACATTAGATACGTACAA